ATCCGGCAAACGTCGTTTTGCCATGTATGATAAAAAATAGGGGTTGATCGTAGAGGGGTGAAAATTGGGGGTTGTATGTATTTTTTAATGTTGTATCATGAAAAAATAAAAACTTTATCTAAAAATTAAAAAGTAATAATTTAGGCGTGGACTACCCTTAACATTAAGGGGGGTGAAAAATAGATGTTTTCCGATTCTCAGACATACCCAATATGCACACAAAATTTCATGAGAATCGGTCAAGCCGTTCCGGAGAAGTTCGAACGAAGTTCGAGTGTCGAAACACCGCGACACGAGAATTTTATATATTAGAAATAGTATTTTTTCAGTAAATTGTGTTTTTTATTTGTTATTTAAAAAACATGTAATTTCACAACTAGCAATAATCATTTCGAATAACATTTTGAATTTTGAGTGGTAAGACCAAAATTATTGTAAGAATTACACGTGCTACTTTTTTTACGGGTATTAAAATTAGTAAAAAATATATCATAAAGTTTTGCCATAAGAAAAATAAAAGTAAAAAAAAAAACAGTTTTAATGCTTCAATGATTTTTTGCCTATTGACATGAAAAGGCCGATTACAGCTACATTTATTTTACGGGTATTAAAATTAATTAAAAAACCACATTATTAAGTTTAATTTACCATAAGAATAATAAGTCGAAAAAAAACATTTTTAATGCTTCAATGATTTTTAGCCTATCCACCAAAAAAAAATCCACCGATTACAACAAAAAAAGACCAATTAGTAGTAGTAGTAGTAACATTCTTTTTCTATGATTTTGGTAGCTTAGAACCCTGTGGAGTTTTTAAACTTAGCTAGAAGCTATGGAAACTTCTTTTTGTATTTTTAAATTGAAGTCGAATGTTTGGTCAAATCCACTTAATAAACTTCTAACTTTAAAAACTTTTTTGAGTAGCTTTAACTAATTTTAAGAAGCTGGGATTTTTTTTACTTGAACATCATTTAAGGCAATCATTTAACAGAAAAAAACTGCGAAATACCTACAACAAAAAAGATATGAATTTTTGAAACCTCGCTGGCAGAAAACACAAAAAAATGTATAACTCGAAAACTACAAAAAATCGCGGAACATACATGGGGTATTTTAGTATACCCCCAGGTGTGAGTAATCTAAAAAAAATTATTGACGTCAATAGTTGGACCAACCTGTATACACGTACATATTACCATCTTCTCTTGAAGACATCCAGAGAAACACTATCACGTTTTTTTTTTGAAGTGGAATCTCGCTGTTGGCTTTTAGGGCCTTTACAGCTTAGCTCGGCCTGACTATCACGTACGGAATGAGGCAGCCTATTTATATTACATAACCGTGGTGAATGATTTGTCATAACAGCTAGAAGTATGTCGAGTATGCTAAACTTCGCAAAAGTGAAGAGATGGTACGACAAGGGATTCCATCAAACAAAATAGAAACAGACAAAATACATATATTTTAATAACTAAATCAATTTTTCTTTAGCCTGTTTTTCCGAAACGCGTTATTACGTCATTTACGTCAACGGGTACGTTTTCATGAACGTGGAGAAGTGCCAGTCCGGTTAGGCGATCTTCAACCATTGAAGATCTTAGATTTAATTCTGCGCAACGTAGAGAAAGACCTTTCTGCTGTCGCTTCGGTGACAGGGTAGTGTATCCAATTTTCCTATATACATATTGATGTCACAATTTAAAATAGGACTATGTTATGATATGTTGAAGTTTAGTCGTTCCGATTCCGATTGAGGTAAGGTCTAGCTAGATGTTTCATAGCGACAAGCGCGCGCAAGTGTGGCGCGAAAAATTCAAATTTTCGATGCGTTCATTCCCAAACGTTTGCCATCATGTATGATGTTATTATATTATATTAAATTAATTAAATATTGAAGGTATTTAGTTACATATAATCTGTATGGTGACAAATTTATATATAAAATCATTATGTTCAATTAGTGGTCCACCTAAGTCCTGCTCAGGGGGGGGTCATGACCCCCATGACCCCCCCCCTGGATCCGCCGTTGCGAGAGCTTACCTTCGAAGGTCACCATGTAGGTTATAAAACCAAAGAGGTTGTTATGCGAGGCCTCCTAATTATTTTTTACTGCGTAATAAATTTACAAGTTTTAATCTAGTTAGTATAAAGTATGTAACAGCCTCAAAAACCTCAGTGGCATGCTCTGATACAAATGTTTAAATAAAAAAAAAGTTACATTAGGCTATTTATTGTAACAGATTAATAATTTCATAATCTTTTTAAAGTGAAACTACTTTTGATTTGAGATAATAGTTACATTAGTTTTCATTATACAATTACATATCAGGTTGGTAAAATTGTGATAATAAAATCAAACTTGAAATCAACCATGACTGCAGCACTATTGTTTTTCTAGTAGAATTACATTTAACATAATACTGTTATAACAGTGAAAATAAAATTTAAAATTCTAAGAACTTGAATTGGCTCGTTTCTGCAGTATAAAAGAGTAATGAAAAGAAAATTCGCGTTTCAGGACACATAGATTATTCTTACTGAGCTCTTTTGTACAGAATGTATGAGAATTCGGAAAGAAAATTTTATTCAGACTTAATTTCTCTAAGTAGCTTTAATTTTAAATGTCAAGCGGAAATTGTTGCCATTTTACGAGAAGAAATAAAAGTATTAAAACTTGTCTGAGGCATAGACATCTTAACAATTTTAAATTAAAAGAAAGGGCGATCAAATTTATTTTTGTACATAAAGAACCTTTTTGAAAATTTTCTTTGATTGTAATAAAAAATATTACACTTCTACTATGTACATACAAAAATGATATTTTCAAAAGCTAATGTGAAACAAAATGAGCTATTTTAGAATATTTATTAATTTTACTAGAAAAGGTATTTCGTCCTATTTTTATGACTAGTATGAAAAACCGCAATCATCGGTAAACATATTTAGACAAAACTTGTTGATTTAAAAAGCGTATGTTAAGTGTCACAGAGTAAAACGTTCTCCGCGTCATAAATTGATTTAAATTGTAACAATAAACTTACTCTATTAATATTTCCCATTATGTAAGATTCTAGATTTTTTTCTTTAAAAATACTGCAGACTGAATCGAAATTATAGGAATTAATATTCACAGCAAACGCCGAGTGTCTGAAAAATAATTAGACCAGCAATTCCAATCGGAGTCTTTGTTTCACCAAAATTCCGTTTTCAAAGGCTTCATTACGGTCGTAATGATTGTCTTCATCAATACAGTTTCCACTATCTTGTCAACAAACAAGCACCCTTGAAAGGGTTCGGGCGTCGGCTCCAAGTGGAAATAAAACGAAATGAGCTTTTCTATTGATCCCTTGTACGTTATCTGTTTCGTAAGATACTACATCAGCGAAACTATAGAGTATGTTTTGTATAAGCTTAGTAAAGTGTCGTTTAACAGTGTGTTACCGTAGTGTTAATCAATCTTTACATAGCAATGCGTTGTATTGTAACTACCTCGTTACATTGTCGTATAGAGGTAAAATTTAAACCTTTTGAAACAATTGAAAGGACAGGCAGTTTATCTTAATTTTAGGTTTAGAATCTGCTAGGAATCTAAAAACCACTGTTCTTATTATGTTTAAATGTTTTTTTAACATTTAGAAATTTTATACTGGAATGTTTAATTGTATATTATAAATAAGGTTTTAAGAATATTATGTTATACATTTTTAAGCAAAGGAAAGCAAAGGACATTTGCAGATTGTATAAGCAATATCATTCATACGTCGGAAACGTTTCAAAAACTCATTTAAAATTCCCTAAGTACGTGACTATTTACATAGTTCAATGAACCTTACATTGTGAATTTACTATACGAAATTCCCTCTGGTTTTCGGCGCTCAAGGTGCGGTGCAAAAATGTGTAAACAGGGGCACGGTCGTAAATTCTTTTGACATGGTAATCCGTACTATATCGACGATGTTTTCGTATGTTGATAGGTACAAAATGTTACATAAATAATCTGCTAGTAAACAAAGGTATTTTTGTCATCTAGAAAACAAAAATTAAAACAGATATCATGAAAATACTATACTGTAAATAAATGAAATGTATGTAAACAGCAGTTCGTATTAATATATTCATATTATTTTCAGTTCATATGTGTCGACAAAACCGTGTATTTTACCACAGAATTACACATTTTTAGTTTTAAATAGATACTAGCATATCTTAAAATACTAGGAACTTAATATCTAAAATTAATAACTAATACTTATCTAGTCAAATTACCGATAATTATTTAAATCTTAAGTAACCCGCCCTCTATCGTCACATTCATAAACTGTTACTATAAAGTTTAAAGATTTAAAACGCCCTCTCGTTATAGTTTTCTCCAAAACTTAATTAAACGAGGATAAGTTTAATTTTGAATTACCTGCCTTCTGTAACAAAATAAAAGAACTTTCGGGTATTGATAAAGTGTAGCTGTAATATCTGTATTTAGACAGCCGTCCTCTATCGCCTGTATATAGGACTATAAAACAATAATGCTTTAACACCAACCTTTTCCCAGTACCCAGGCACCTTTTTAGTGCCATTTGGTTAGAAAAATTTTAGTGTTCTTCCCTGCCATCTATCACCGTAAATTCAAACTAGTGTGTCGTTTAAAATGATTCATTCTAATAAATTTTACGCTTTCTATAAAGTTTTAATGTAAACTATGTGTATGATAAAATTGAACTGAATAATATGCAAATGTATTATTAATATTTACAACGTAATACATAACTTGTAACGTCTCCTTAACGATTTGACAGCTGACAGAAGTAGAAGTCAAAAGAATCCATCAAATATCAATGTTCAAAAAACAAATTCGAATAAATTTAAGTTTTGCTTGTCATCGCCGCTTTAAATTACGGTGAAGCGGTGAATTGTAATTTTGATTTGAATCCAAAATCTAGCTTTGTGGTTTTTTCATTAAATATAAACTTTTCAAAACTATTTTCAATAACTTAAGTTTGAACAATGAGTTCCATTGGAACAGGAGTAAGTGTTTCTAAGTTTTTGTGAGTAGGTACACCCGTCCCACAATTTGTTGTAAAATGAAACGTTCGATTATTTAAATTAAAGTGTAAAGTATTTATGTAAAAACATTAATTTTAAGGAATAACTTAACTCATACCATGGAATCCCAAATAACAATAGTTTAGAGGTTAGATTTAATAAATTATGCTTAATCACATATACTGATTTCAGTACGATTTATCAGCTTCTCAATTTTCACCCGACGGTCGGGTGTTTCAAGTGGATTATGCTGCGAAAGCTGTTGAAAACTCTGGTACAGTTATTGGCTTAAGAGGAAAGGATGGAATAGTGTTTGCTATAGAAAAACTTGTAACTTCGAAATTGTATGAACCTGGTGCTAATAAGAGAATATTCCATATTGATGAACATGTTGGCATGGTGAGTTGAGCTTCAGTATGTACATGTATATTTGTTCATGCAGATCAACATCATAATGTATTTACTTAGAAGAACTTTTGGGTTCCGTTAAGTAATACATATCTTAGGAAAAGTAATGTAACAAAATCTTCAAAGTAATAGAGATCAGAGTGAAGTCTTAGTTTTATGCTTTTTGTAAATTAAAGAAGAGGCTTCAATAATCACTAACTTTTTTCATATTTATTAATCTTAGTAAGTTAAAGTGATATATAAATAAAATAGTTGTGTCTAGGTATGTCAGCATTTTGAAAAGGTTTGTTTACTAACCTTTACCACAGCTGTATCTTAACTTAGATTTGCATCTAAACCATTACTGAATAAAACATTCAAGTTTTGTTATATGTTAAGCTGTTTATTTTAAACAAAGTTTAGGTCCTATACTATATTTAACTAATTAATTTTCAGGCAGTTTCTGGTTTAATCTCAGACGCAAGGCAGATAGTTGAAACAGCCCGTTCTGAAGCCTCAAACTACAGATCCCAATACGGCATCCCAGTCCCACTAAAATACTTAAATGAGCGTGTATCCATGTATATGCATGCATACACTTTGTACAGTGCTGTCCGTCCATATGGATGTGCTGTGGTCATGGGGTCTTGGTCAGAGCATGATGGTCCTCAAATGTTCATGCTGGAACCCAGTGGAGTCTCTTTTGTAAGTTTTATTTAATCTTTTAAAACCCTAAAGAAAATTCAACTGCCACTATTTACATACATCCCCATTTTAATTTTGAAATAGTTGATTGAAAATTCCAGTTATCTAAATTTTTGGAAATAACTTGAATCTATGTAATAATGGTTAATGTTGTTTATTCTGGTACAGATTATTTTCTATTTGAAAAAAATGGTATACATGGTCACACACACACACACAATGTGGTCCATTTTTTATAAATAGTCAGGATAAGCTAACACAATAATTTGAAGTCCACTCACTGTTGTCCTATTATTTTATTTATTTATTACAGAAATACATATATAAACATTTTATCAGCATCACACTATGTCGGTCTTCATAATAAAAACAATTGTTTTTCTTGGGACTGATAAACTGGGCTCAATTGTAGTCATCACAAATAAGGACATTTTAAGCATATTAATTACATTTATATTTTCATAACTTTCAGTCATACTTTGGATGTGCAGTAGGAAAGGCAAAGCAAGCGGCCAAAACTGAAATTGAAAAGCTGAAACTTGATGACATACCAGTCAAAGATCTCGTTAAAGAAGCTGCCAGAATGTATGTATATTTAAAATTTTAATGGAATGGGTAATATACTTTTGATTATTTTTCATTTTCTTAATTAACAAGCCCAATATTTTTTTTTATTGAAATAAACATATAGAAATTGGGTACAAAAATGTTGGGATTGCTATCACTTATCAAGTTACAGCCTATAGTTATCCAGCAGAGTTGCTTAACTTGCTAATTTGAGAAATATTTCAATAAACAGTTGACTTAGTAGTCATCAAAATTTTGAAGTGATTACACATTCTCGGAATAGAGAATGCTATTTACAATTTATGAATGTAGAAAAAACTAAGGGCTCATTATCAATACCAAAACTGATGTTTTACAATTTATTGGCTACAAGTGTAAGATGATTGTTAACATTTCGTATGCACTTTTTTTATTAACTAATATATAATATGTATTTGTGTAACTTAACTAACATAAGGTTACATGACTCAATATATGATTTTTTATTCACATATAAGTCAGTAGTTTTGACTTATGTGTATCAAAATATTCACCATGCATTTGGGCAGTAAAACTCAACAGTCAATAACTTCAACATTAGTATCTCATCTATAAACATCAATCATTTTATGCACAGTAAAATATTCTATTTTTTTTAAATATTATATTAACTTTTTATATATGTTTTGATGCTTTATGTTATTTGTTGAACAGTCCACATTGATACATGTAAAATTAATAATTTTATGTACTCCTTGTCGGTCACATGCAAACATGTAAATGTATGTGCCCTGTTATATTTCCTTTTTGAATTTCCAGAATTTACCTTGTCCATGATGAATTGAAAGACAAACAATTCGAGCTTGAGTTATCCTGGGTGTCTAAGGACACCAAAGGTCGTCACCAGTTGGTGCCCAAAGAAATAGCATCTGAAGCTGAGAACCAAGCTAAACAAGCACTGGTCGATATTGAGGATTCAGATGAAGGGGATAACTAAATAATAAAATTTTGATACATAAATGGCTTTTATTTACTTCATAAATGTTACCTCCATTTATTTTTTAAATATTGCTCGTCTTTTAAATTGCGGTTTTTATGTTGAATGAGTGTTTAATAGAGAATGAGATATAGGCTCTTAATTTATTTTGTGGGAAATATCAACTAGTCATAATAAAAACAATAATTTACATATCGAATTAGACAAATTTTAACTTTTAGAATTGATGCAATCAACCTTACTGTAACTACGTTAATACAACCTCATAGAACTTGGTGACGACAAAAACAAAGTTCGTTCGTTCGTAAGAATAGAAGACTAACCATATCGCACCACCGATAAAATAGTGTAACATATGAAGTTGAAATGATCAGGCAAAACGAAAATGATTAACTTGTTTCATTGTAACGAATACCATGCTTTTTGATGTAAATAATATGTACATGTTATATATTTATACGTACATCTCAATTATTATACAACAATTTTTTTCACTAGTGACACTGTCGAGGATTATAAAACAAAATGTTCTTATGTTGTAGCATTATTATATTTGTAGGTACCATAATAAACAATCGAGAGGAAATCGATCTCACCAGTCACAAAATCACAAATCAGTAATTCTTCCTTCTTAATAATAAGCTTCCTATTCCCGATTATGCAGACTCATGCACGGCTGATGTTTGTATATGGTTGGTGGACTCAGTTTCCGCACTTAGACTCTCACTAGGTCCGTTGTGCGTTAAGTCCTAGCTAACTTAGCCAGCCTAGCTCCATCCATAAGCACAGAAGTCTCCTGGGCACTTCGCAAGCTTCACGGATCGACCTCACTGCTCCTATCTGTACGTTGTTTAACCACAGCCTCGCATTCTAGGACTACGTAGGGGACTGATTCCTCTGCGCTGAAACAGGCTCTGCACATGGGGCTGTCTGTCGCGCCTAGGACAAAAAGATGTTTATCAAGGAAACAATGGCCCGTAGTTTTCCCTGGCATAGCCATACCCCAATGTATAGGAGATTGCTAGCGTTAAGTTCTCGTTAACTACTAGATTCCACGATAGCGGTGATAGGACACCAGTCACCACCTTGCACCCATAATAATTCGTTACCTACATTGTTTTATTCTACTAGTCAATCTCATCTTTTACGACGTTGCATATTGAGAAGAATCAAAAGAAGAAGATCACTATCTTCAAATTTGAAATTTGACGATGCAAAAGTTGCTAAAATTGATTTATCAGTTAGATGAGGATTTTAACCACTATCCTCTAAATCAGACCTATTAATGCTCTTCGTGCTTCTCTCCATACTTCGTTGGAAACACGATTTATAAAAGTCCTAGTCTGGCACGCGTATGTATAGACTACCTAATTGATAAAGGCAAACTAGAGTCCATGAATTATTATTTTTTAATTTAATTGGTAGAGTAATGTTTTATGCTAAGGGTATTTAGGTGTCTCGATTGGACTGGCAAAATTATTTTATAGATTTTTTTATAAACATCTAAAAATATTTTTTTTATATTTTTAGATCTTTACAATCAAGGCACATAAAAATCCATAGGTAATGTAAAATAAATAATACCACTTCAATAAGAACGATTACGTTAAATAGCTTGTAAAGGTATAATTTTTATGATGCGAAATTGAAAAATTGCATGCAAGTGTAGGGTGACAATTTCTTTTAAAAAATTCTTTAAGAATTAGTGTATCGACACCTACAAACGTCGGCTTCTGGGATGACGTCATACCCTAAATGACGCAAGCATTGTCGACGTGTAATATAACCTAAACTAATTTGTATACAATATATACAATTTCTCAACTTTAGCCACTCACATCATCCTATGACACAATTGGTGGCTTATAACATGACTGTCCTATCATACATGAAGCATGATCGTTATTGCAGGGCGCCGGCCGCCTTCACTGGTCACCCGATATCAAAAGACCGGCATTGCAATTTCGGATTCGGGGCTTAAGTGCCATGTAGAGTTGATTACTTCCTCGATTTCGTATTACTTATAATAGGTAACTTTAGTTTGTATTTGCCTAATTAAGTTTTTTTTATGGTCAATTTACTCATGATCTTTTTTTATATATAACGGCCCAATTAGGTACTGATTAATACTAGCAAGAAGTAATAATGTCGTTGAATTATAAATTAAAAGAAAATTGCCATTCATATTGTGAGGATTTTACTAAGTATGAATAATACAATATATAAACGTTTATATCATTGCAATTATGTGTACTGTATGTGTTGACAGAAAACTTCATAATTTGTATTAAATGATTGATTCATTAGACCTTATTTAAATTTAGTAATTTTGTTACTAATATTTGCATTTAAAAACCCTGTTTTTTTTTTCGTTTATTATGTTATTCAATTGAACCAAAATAATTATGAACTGTAAAAAGGTAAAACAAAATTGAATCGACTATCCGTACCACAACCGGTCATATTGAGCCTTCTCTATTTAAGCTGGTAATAAAAATGTTATATTAAAATTGGTAAAATTCTACCAACAATGTCGGACTTAGATCAACTTCCGAAAAGTTTTGTCAAAACTTTTTATCGTCACATGAAGTATGTTAGCTTTTTGGGAATCGATATTTTTGACAATTCGAAAGCGAATAATTTAAAAAGACAGTGTCAACTAGCAATTATTTACAGTCTATTTCTATCGACGGTTTGTGGGCAGTTTTTATATTTATTTTTAACAAATGTTAATTTTTTGGATTTTATTAACGCTTTACCTGCAACGATTATGGCAACACAAGGTATATATAAAGTTATATTGTCTATTGAAAGACTAAAAATAAGCGTTTATCTTTAATAAATTTGCCAATGATTACCCTACGTATAAAATAGCAACTTGTAACAAAAATTGTTATAAAAAATAATTAATAATAATAATAATTATATATTATTGGCAACATGAAATCAATAATTTTTTAGGCACTTTCCAATACACAACACAGTTTCTATATATTTTTATCAATGGTGCCGAAAGTGAGAATATGATTTTAAGCTTTGCCTTATATTAAATATTATAATATTTTCTTTATAGAGGCATAAATTATACTATAGATACTTCAACTTTAACGTTTCAGATATTGTTAAATTATGTATACTAACGGTTAAGAGACATGAAGTAAGAAAAGTCATTCTGGAGTTATCGGAGTTATGGCCCGTTGACGCTAATTCAAAGAAAATGAAAACAGTTCGAATCTGGACAACGCGTCTATCACTTTTTGAACGATGTAAATATTTTATTATAAAAACAGCTTAAATTAGAATTAAAAACGATATATGTGCCATTTCCGATGGTCGTTAACTTGTTTAGAGTTCGTAGTGATCACTGATTATGCATGAAAGATAACATTGATGAATCATAAAGGTGACTCTCTTTCGAGGCGAGGTTGCTGCTCCTGAGATCCTTCTTCGTTCCCGATATGTTATGCCTCAATTTACCAGTAATCAGAACAAAACTAACGAATTTGAAAGACCAGTGTGTGACGAACGAGTTATAGTAGTGATTAAAATACATTATAACTTTAGATTATAATAAGTGACGCTAATTACCGCGAATCAGCTTCTTTAATAATTTTTATTTTTTATTTGTATGTGATCATTAACCAGCCTGTACCTGACACGTTATAGGTACTTAAAAAAAATATAAAAAATAATATTCTACAAAAAAAACCTGTATCTTCATGATTTTAATTAATCGGCTTTCTTTTAAATTTACTGTCGGTTTCATTTATACCTACCAAATCCAAATGAAAGGGTAATTGTTACTTTAAAAGTACTTTCTAACATCACTTATTTTTTTATAGTATTTTATTACTGCGGCTACGTAGCTATAACATTCTTTCTTCTTGTGCCTTTACTGATGACAATATACACAACTTTAACCACATCAAAGGTTGACTATCAGTTTCCGCTACACATTTATTTCTTCAGCTCTTTACAATCTCATTGGGCATATGCGGCCGCTTATTTTTATATTTTTACTGTGGGTAAGGAATTTTTCTATATTTATATCAGATCATTGAAATTATACTTCTATTGCCGCGTTAATAAAAAAAATGAGAGTAAATTTTTACGATGCGCGCGCACTATGTCACAAAAAACTGACAACCTGAAGTTATGTAGTTTGTGAAGTATAGTCAACATTTTAGTTTTTTGAAGTTATACTTCTTTTGAAGCGTTAGGGAAAAATGATGAGAGTAATTTTTTTTCTATTGTTAGTGTCGTTTTTTCTACCAACGTAGAATAAGGCGAAATATAAAATTTTTGAAAAGATGTTCATCTTGTTACGCCAAATAAGTATAAATTCTAACGCATGTACATAAGTACACACACGTTTTTATCTATATAGAGGAAAGTCATTAGTCAATGTAAAACGATCTATTATTTCTAGGTGTCTTGATTCATATATGTGTTTACATAGCAATAGATTTTATTCTTACATCAATAACATTTGATGTAAGTGGACTGTTTGCTGCATTACAAGTTGATTTAACTGATATGAACGTATATAACCCTGAACCAGAAAACGATTACAGATTGATAACGGAAATTGTGAAAGACCATCAAAAATTGCTAAGGTATGAATTTCAAAGATAATGTAAAAAATACTTTTATCCGGTGCTCCAGGAATTTTTATTTGTTGTCGGCAAAATGATAATACCTACGAAGTACGAGTCAATAATTTTTTGAGTTCGAATAAAATTATTTCTGAGCCATCATGTCACTTAGGGTCTTCTATCTAATACCTATATAATAATAACTGTTTCCATAACCTGAACAATCATTCTAAAAATCAATCGCACATAGGCGTACGCAACACACTCATTTGACATTCAACATTTAAGATTTCATAGCTTTATTCTGAAAGCAGAATCAATCGGAGAATGCTACATGCATTCTTACATACGATGTCTCGGAATCTGTTTATTTTGATAAAGTATATCATTTCAGGGTTGTCGATAACGTGAATCTTATCTTTGGACCTTTGTTGTTCGCACAAGTGACGTTTTCATCTATTATTATCTGCTGTTTTGGATTTCTTACTATAGTGAGTACTGTAGTCCGCTAATTTTTTTGGGACGTATGCAGTTTCAGTATGATTAAATGGATTCTTAACATCAGCGCAATGACATTTATTTAACCAAAGGTGCTCCATGATAAATTGTGACAGAACACACTATTACTATCGATTTCCGGTAAAATAAAAGTTATATCAAACTGACACTGAAGGAAAAAAGATGCAGATAATCATTTAAGATCATTTTCGATTTTAATAGAATTATTTAAAAAATGGAAACCTAATACAAGGACGACCGCACGCAATCATTGACGACGATTTAAAATAATAAATTTTTATAAATGATTTTTATAGAATTATAACTTTGTTACAAATCCTTCATTAGGTCGGAAAAGATTTAATCAAGAGTCTGCTAGCTACATTTGGAATAATACTTGCCATGTTCAACTTCTGTTGGTCTGGACAGCTTCTATTAGATGCTGTAAGTATATGGCAAAGAACTATTCTCATAGACATATAAAAATCTTGGTGATAACCAGTATATAAATATTCATCATAATCTCCGTAATATAAACATTATATTATTATGACATTCATACTACGTCGTCCTACATCGTTAGAAATGATTGAATTACACAATAATATTATTAACGTACATAAGTACCTACGTTAGTAATTACGTACGTAAACTCGATATTAATTGCTTTTAAATATGTGATCAAGCTCCTATGATCCCTGGTACATATTAACAGTTATCTATAAATTTCTAATCAAGAAACCCCAAAGTTAAAATTAAAAATAAAACTATCTAAAATCATCCTTATCTATGAATATTTACTGTTAATATTATTCTAGAGCTCTGGTATAGCCGAAGCTGCTTACAACTGTCCTTGGTACAACAGAAGCGTTGCGTTTAGAAAATGTATTCTGATTATTATTATCAGGTAAGTAGAAGTAAAGATATAAGGGTACGAATCAGAAATGATATATGTTTTTGACATACAGGAAGTCACAGTTACCGATTTACTAAATGACCCATCGAGTCGATACTTACTTACTAAACTCTGTAATCTTACCCCAAGATTTGCAGTTTATCTCTAACAAAACTACCTATATAATATGAGCTTGCTGCTCACACTGGCCAAAAATACAGGAAGATAATTCTTATTTTTCAGAGCTCAAAAGCCGAGCACGTTATCGGCATTAGGATTCTCTGACGTGACTTTGACCACACTTTCAAAGGTATTCTTTTGTTTGTAATTTTAATACATTACAAGGTACAGCAACAGCACAACTTACACATATGTCGGAAAACAAAGACGATTTTGTGGTATATTTAGTATGGCAGCGTCAACCTACCCGCCTCGTGAATTGAAGCCATAATGTCAGTCACAGAATACTAATCAGCCACTAGTCTATAAGAATAAATTGTCAAGGAATAGATGCAATCTGATGCCAAAGCCTATAAAGAGTGGCAGCGCCATTGTATTATTAGTAGTTTGAATACGAAATCGTTGATTCAATCGCAATTGGAATAAATAAATATAAATTGTCTTTTCCAGATATTAAGTACGTCGTGGTCATATTTGTCACTGCTGAATCAAATGTATGAAGATATTGCATAAAATTATAAATATATTTGACACATTATAAAACAGTAGACGAGACACTGCACACAGAATATTTTTAATTTTACACAGAATTAAGTAGTCGAAGGCACGAAAAAGTGTTTTCCATAGTTACTTAATATACAGTACCTACATGTACTGGGGCAAACAAATTGGATTCAGTAGCGACAGAAATGATCAAGAAATAGAGAGAAGAGTTAAAAGTACGTGGAATAAATATTGGAGTTGCAAAGAGATATTTAAAAGTGATATGTCTATAAGACTCAAGAGGAGAGTTATGGACTCATGCCTTCTGCCATGTCTGACATATGCATGCCAAACATGGAAATTTACAAATAAAACAAAAAATAAAATAAATACATGTCAACGAGGCATGGAAAGGAGCATGTTAAATATTAAAAAGGTACAAAAAATAAGACACATAAAAATTTGACAAGAGACGAGAGCAATTGATGCTCTAAGCCACGCAAAAAAATTTAAGTGGAAGTGGGCGGGTCATGTAGCGCGCCTCACAGATCATAGGTGGACGAAGACAGTAACTACATGGAGTGGCCCACCAGGCAAACGACACAGAGGCAGACCCTACGCTCGATGGGATGATGACATCAAAAAAATCGCGGGTCCTCACTGGGTCCAAATAGCTCGGGATAGAGAAAGATGGCAAGCCTTGGAGGAGGCCTTTACCGGAGAGGGTTCCTGATACTTACTAACTGTAAAAGATATTCACTAACACATGAGATAATTAGTTATTTTTGTATTAGGAAATAAGATAAGGCTTAAAATAAATAAATAAAATAACATGTACTGGACATGGATTTTCTAAGTACATATTTTTTTCTAGACGATCAGAAGGGTATTTCATTTACCAAACAAATCAATCGAAGATTATCTATTACACGTCAAAGCATCCGGATGGAGAAAGAAAATAAGGGAGGCATTACGAAAATGTCCTCTAAAAGTTAGAGTGATAGTTATTAAAAGAAAACAAGAAAATAGTTTGTAATAATTACTTTGTATTGTCAATTTATGTGTAATATTTCACAATTTGCAATTATATTAGGTACAAATTAATTAAAATGACTCATTATTTATAAAATCTACAATATAATCTCATTTGTTTCGAACTTAATTAAATATTTACAAAATATTATATCTCATAAAATTGTATACAATGTAAAGTAAATACATATTATAAATACATAAAAAATAACTATTTACATATTAGGTCCGTTACTTAAGCCATTTTTATTCTTGCTGTGGGGTTACTCTCGGATATAACTGAAACAAATAATTTAAATTAAGATTTATGCCCTGTACATACTATAATATATAGGCTATTATGGTGTTTGCCATCTCATCTCTCAGTTACGCTGGGAAGTTGACAAACTAGTTTAAAAGGCATGACTTCAAACCTATAAGACAAGTCGCGTTTGTATGTTATTAATTTGTATATAAAACATTTCCATCTCTTTTTTTTGACTATAGTCAGGCTTTTGTTTTCAAAGAACTTAAGAGGATTAAGTTTTACTTATTCAAAAAAGTAAGAAAGTCTAAGTTTTTCTATACAGGAATCACTAGTTAAGAATGAATTGTACTTAATTTGTCAGATTTAAAAAAAATTGAATACATACATTATATACTGACCCATCTATAATTGCCATGAGAACAAAGAGAATAGTTACTTTCCTTCAATAATAGAAACCTTCAGGTATATAAACATAAATGGTTTGTAGGAACATCTTTACGACAACAATAACTTTTACTTAGTAGGTAATCTTTTTACAACAAAAAAAATTAACGCACTATTCAGTTATTTGTGCCTATAATTCTAACTCACCCCAAGCAAGTTCCGAGGCACGTATCCCTCATGCGTATCATCACGACACCACCACCATTCCCTTTCATTGTCGTCTCCCTTCCTCAGCACCTGAAGCCTCGCGCTCGTCTCGAATGTTAGTTCGTCGGAACGCGACGCCGTATACGAGAACACGGCGTATACTATCCCGCTGTTCATTATACCTAGTTTTTCTTGCACACCTGGAAATTAAACATTTTATTTTTGTAAATATCTTTAAAATCTACGCGAAATTACAATTCCAAATTGGTAATGCTTCAAAACACTTACTATAAAGGTATTCTGAACAGCCGTCGAAGCCTTCTTCATCTTCCTCACACTTCTCTGCTGCAGTCTCGTGGTCTGATAGTGTCGTTGCAAATATGCAGGCGCCTGGAAATATAAATATTAAAAATAAATGCTTGAAAATATTTTTCTCTTTTATGGTATGGTTAAGATAAACTATTAACTGGTATATTAATTATACAAACTACTGCAACTATACTTTATTTTCAAAAATATTATTACTAAGAAAAACTACACACACACACTTATGCCCAAATCCGTCTTAAAAATAGTTATAGATAAGAATTGTGTTATCTTTGTCAAAATAGGGAAGGTCTCTAGTAAATTGTACATGCTTACTCATACATAATACTCACCATTATCGACAAGGAATCGAACCATTGGTAGGTTGTTGCACGACGCGGCACAATGGAGAGGAGTCCAGCCGTCGGAGTCTTGGGCGTTGACATCGCAACCCAACTCTACTAAAAACCTGAAAAATATTTGCCATAAATTGTAAACATTGTATATAAATCAAATCAATTACAGTATTCTATGGTTGATTCAAAAGTCTCAGAAATTTCATATTACTTTACCGTACTAGTAAGATACATAAAGATAGTGCTCGCCCGAGATCGAAGAGTGTGAGAATCTCGCATGCGCACGTACTTTTTATAATATCGTTCGACGTTTTGTTCTCCGATTACCACGAAGACGTCTTTCTTATTTTAGGGGTTATATATAGCCTTATGACACTGACAAATATCATGTCTCTTAGTTGATCCAGAGATTACCACTACCACATCACAAACCGTTATATTCTATGAATTGTGGTATAAATTTAAATAATTACTTGACTATCTCGAAATGGCCGGCACATATGGCGTTGTGTAAAGCTGTAATTCCTTCGTCGTTCGCAGCGCTTGCATTTTGCACCTGCAAATATATTGATAGTAATTAATAATGGGGAAATATAATTTGACGAAGCGCCTTCTGTCGATATATTTTATTATTGGCGACGAACTTTGTAACTAATAATAGTGTTCGACTTAACAAAAAGGTAATTTTGCTGCGCCCTCAAATCCCACGATGGTTCTTTTTCCGCACCGATTCTATGAAGATGTATTTCCAAAATATTATATAACATTTACATTTGTAATAAAAATTACCTGTGTTGCAGTCTTCTTCACAAGTTCCAATTCGCCCTCAAGACTAGCATCTAACAACAAAGCGAGAGGGTCGAAGCTAACTCGCCTCGCGAGCGGAGCCTTACCCCCTTGCTTCAGATTTCCCTTCTTAGATCTCCGGACCACATCATTACGCGACTCCTGGTTAAGATCCACTGAGCTTATTTGCTCCACTATATCAGATACATCTTTATCTTCCTTATCGCTACCATTTGATATGTTATTATTCATCGGTTCCTCCTTTTTTAGCCTCTCCTTGTCATCTTCCATTTCTGGGAAAAGAAATGCGGGAGGCATTTCGATCCGTCTGTTGCTTAGGCCGTTTTTCGCGTTCCTCAATTTTGGTTGTTCGCTTAGCGGTGGTTTCCTAATTGTTAAGGGGCGCGCTTTAATGATCATCTCATTTGAGTTTCCGTTTTCTTTCTGAGATTCGCTCTCCGTTGGGTCAGGTGGGTTCGTTTCGCGAAAACCAGTATCGTTGTTAGCCGACTGTCTCGGTGGAGTCTGTAACGTAATTAATATTAAGTTCATTAGAAACCTTATCAGAATAATACCTGTCAATAAAGAGATTTTAAAGTCTGAAATATTCATGATGTTAAATTTTAGATAGAATTTGATGAGCAACATACCTTGATACTGGGTTTGGGAGGTAGCGCTGGTTTAGGCGATTTGTCGGCGCTCACGTCGGGAGTCGAAAGGGGAGTGCTGGCACTTTGCGGAGGAGACAAAAGCAGGCTTTGTGACAAATTCTGGCCGCTCAAGTTCGAAATGCCCGATGCCGTGTTTCTGATCTGGTTTTGGGAAGGATTAGCGTTAAGGGTCTGTGTCTGAACGGTTTGCGGTTGAACCGGCTGGATTTTTGTCGAGGATGTCTGGTAAATGGGTGATGGTTTGCCGACCTGAACCGATGTAGGGGCTACACTCGATACGGGTTTCTGCAATGAATGATGGTGATATTTACAAATGTGGGTGCACAGAGCGATGATGTGGTTGAGAAGTATATATTATAAAAGTACATAGTTAAATTAGTTTAAATACCATATAAATTTGTATTGTATAACTTTTGCATTATATTATATATTTCTCCAGTAATCTACTATAATGATACAAGCACAAATAGAAGCGTGATTGATTTAATGCTACTGCATATTTTATGACGATGACATGAGAATGACACTCACCCCGAATCCTATAGAACTGCCGGCAGAGGAGCTGGACAACATGCTTGGCGAACTTCCTTTCAAATTACCCTGACTTTTGCCATTCTTCGAATCTTGACCATTACTTAACCTAGAATTCTGTTGATATGCATGATTTTCTTTTCCTTCTTGATTACATCTGCTGGATGAATCTGATTTTTGTAGCTGATATGCCTGTTCTTGATATGCTGTTTCTTGACTTAGAGGTGTCGCGAGACTTTTATTTATAACCGAAAGAGGCGTAGAATGCACCGTCATATGGTTTACATTTTGATTCTTATCTTCTTTTCCGTTCACTTTTCCATTTGGAAATTTGGTGTTATATGGAAGCGTTTGGTATTTAGAATCCGATTTGCTCGCGGCAAATTCTGGAGGGAATTCTTGTTCATTAATTTTAGGTTCTTTTGCATTTTGATTGCTGTTTGAACTGCTGGTGCTGTTTGGACTGTACTGTTGTTTTGGGTACTCTGAATATTTGTTGACGTGATCGAATATTGATTTTTCGTAGGAATTCGTTATTCCCTGCTGAACGTGGTTAAATGCATTTGTATCCGGTTTGTTTGGGTACTGGGTGGGATATTGTTCCTGCGTGTGTTGAATGTGATAGTTTCCATTGTATAGGGGGTTCATCAGTGGTTTTTGCTGCAGAAAATGAGCTTCTTGCTGCGTAAGGTGGTTTTGCATGTTTTCACTTTGTGTTAGTTGTTTTAATGGCACATTATTCTGCTTCATAGCCTGAAAATAACGTTGATCGTTTGAATTAACGAGCACACACTACTTGTTAGTAATGCTGTTGTGATTTAATTTATTATAACACTTTACATAGAGGCTAGAGCAAAGGCGACTAATTCACGATCATAAATAAAATCAAACGAGACATAAAATTAGATATCTATTTTTAATTCAAACAAATCTAGCATGTGCAATAGAAACAATAGAAAAGCTTTCAGTGTAACCGAGCGACACATGATTTTGCAATCGTTTTCTATGGCGTGAAAGTTGAAAACGAATGAATCGGTTTTAAACTCTACAATGAGGTTTTTGACCTTATAAGATGTGTAATACAAATGTTTGAGATATTTTATAAAACTTTGTTAAACTGTGTTCTCCTTATTATATTTGTGTTAATGTGTGTCTGCTCTTAAAGTATGCTACGATGAACCATACGAGACTGTTTCTTTCTTGTTAGCGTGAAACCCTTACTTTTAGACAAATATTTATTTTGAGAAATAAAGTCATGGTCACTAAAAAGTGCTTCATAATAAATTATTTAATAACTTTTACCTGGAAATTGTTATTATGCAGGCTCTGCGCGTGTGGTATGTGGTTATAAGGCTCTACAGCAGCCACGTTGCCTCTTTGTGGGTTCTTTGGTTGGCTGATCTGGTTACCAGCGGGGTAATTGGGCAGTTGCTGCATCGGAGTGGGATTGCTATTTCTGAAAAATAAAATATTCATATTGATAAGCGTATAAAGTATTCGTGTGTTATAAGCTTGTGTTTGAGACGAGATATTATAGTCAATTGAATAATAAAACATAATTTTCCGATTGAACGGTGTGTTACAACATTAATGTTTTTCGAATACTACTGTAATTTTTAAAACGATTTATACTAGGTATTTAAGTCTACGTAGAGTTCATTTTTTTTGCCGAAAAAATACCATCACGTTTGATTAATAATAACAATAATAATAATAATCTTTATTTTCTTCTCTCACATATACATACAAGGTTTTTATGATTAAACTAAGATGATAACATTAGGAAGTGTATGTGAGAGACTGGTCTCTGTAACAGGAGACCTGAGTGACAGATAGCCAGCCTCTCCACACCGGACCGGAACACGTACAATCATGTCATTGTCATAAGATACAATAGAAGAAAATAAGTATTAAGTGCTAAAAGAAAACATTGCAAACGGAGTCTTAAAAATAAATTTGGTGTGTGTTTGTGTGTGTGTGTATGTGTGTGTCTCTCTCTCTCTCTAAGTGTGTGTGGCGTGCGTGGGTGTGTGTATATGTGTGGGGGAGTTTTGAGAGATTGTATTTGAAAGTAATTTTTTTAATAATATGTTTTAATGTAAAATCATTCGAAAGCAAAAGCAATTACTTACTTACGTAGCAAGTATTAGTAAGACAAACGCTCGAAGCCTGAACTATTAAAACTTTAGCACTGTAAAAGTTTCCTCACAAACTTTGTTACCTACATAGTTTCTCGAGATAATCTCAGGACTATGTTCAGATTAATTTGCAGAGATAAAGTAGGTATAGACAAGAGTTGGTACGTTACAACTGCATACCATTTTTTAAAGTTTTTATCGTGTATAAGGTTAATTGAAGATTTTTTCTAGTTCTACGCGAATGATATATGTATTGTATATATTTTTTATTTGTATATATAAGAGTTAAACTTAATACTGACATGTGTATATTGTTTATCGTGTAAATTATAAATATTCATAACATTTGTTGCAATTTCTTCACGAGTTGTGGGAAATGAACCTTGTATACAGTAATCCCTCCTATAACACGGTAGATTGGTTCCACATTATAGGTATCGCGTTGTAGGAGTATTCTCGTATAACGCGCTTGTTTGACCCCGTATAACGCGTTATGTACAAATCATTCACGTTTAACTTTTCTCATTAAAGGGGATTTATATCGATTATTAAGACTATGTTATGAACGAAATAAGTGCGTACAAATCATTATAAATGTCGCAGCACAGAAATAAAACGTGTGAAATTCCCGTGTTATACGAAGGGCTGAAATCGCGTAATATGAAAATGCGTTATAAGAGGGTTCACCGTATTGTTGCTGTATATTGTGTACCAAAATCTGAGTACAAATAGGCAAATATCTGAAGAACGATATTATACGAGAGATAATGTACTTATTTTATTCTAAAACTTTACACTAGAAAATTACCCCAAGATCATTTATGATTGAAAGAATAACGGTAAAACAAGTTTTTCGGTAAAAATATTACTCCGGGTGGAATATTGGAGGCTAAATTAATAATCTAAATCTGTGTTTCTATACATATGAGCTCCAACCATTTATGAATCTTCTAATAGCCATATCAGGCAGTTTTATCTAAGTTTTAAGTGAATATCTTTTGCGTATTCCAAAGATAATAAAATAGAATAAACATTTTCCTCATAAATCACAGCACTCATCGCAAACTATAATCGACAAAGTTTCTCAGCTGATGAGTTGGGAGGGTAGTAGCTAATGCTTGTGGCTTTTTACATTATCAACCTTATTATATGTGTGTGTATTGAGCATGCTCAGAATTAATTAGGCGCACAATGTAGAAGTGCCTTAAAATAACACATATATTAGATTACCTTAAAAGCGTTAGTTTTACGCATAATTAATACTTAATAGCGCCTATGTTAGGGCTGTGAAGAATTTATTATTGGATAATGTCGCTAGATGTTAAATTTTAAGTTAAGTAAAGATCTATAGATATACTTCCGGATCCGACAGACGTAGTCTTGTTACACACGTCTTACATACCAAAAAAAAATCAAAGTAAATCATTCTCGACTCCACTTGAACACACAAATAATTTCATCAAAATCTGTACAGCCGTTTAGGAGTTTAATAACGAACACATGCATATATATACCAGTTGTTTATTTGCTGTATAGACAAATCACCTAGATACCGACTACAGCGCCAACTGCCGGGCTGATTTGTGAATCTAAACCATCCCACCCAAACGCATACAAAACTCATTCAAATCGGTCCAGCCGTTTAAGAGGAGTTCAGTGACATACACACGTACAATCTTATTATATATAAAGATATATTGCTCTCAGTTTATTGAGATTACTATATGTCCGTACTAAAGAACCCCGTGACCTGATAACCGTAACCGTGACTTATTACTTTAATCCGAACAAACCAAATTATTGACAGTAAAAACATACATAACACGCCCGAGTGGTGTTGTAGTCTCTGACGACTTCTTAACTGTTTCCAATATGGAAGCACTATTGCTTCAGGAGTTACATAGAGAAAGTATTACCTCTGCTGCGGCTGTCTGTGAGCAGCAGTTAGCTGTCTGTTGAGAGCCCGTTTCCTCAAAAGCCTTGCTTGGAGTTCAGACACCCTTCGATCGATGCTCCTCATCTCTTCTTGCCGGGCGCCTAGTGCTGCCCTCTGCGCTGATAACCTCCCATTCTGCTGTTCGTTCAGCTTGTTTCGATACTGTAATTAAGAGTTAGTCATTTATCTTACTTATAAATCTATACTAATATTATAAAGAGGAAAGGTTTGATTTTTTGTTTGTTTGAAATGAATAGGCTCCGAAACTACTAGACCGATTTCAAAAATTCTTTCACCGTTGGCAAGCTACACTATTCCCGAGTGACATAGGCTATGTTTCATTTTCAAAAAAATTAGGGATGCTTACTAAAACTTGAATAATCTAACCCAAGGTGTAAAAAAATAAACAAAAAAACTTCCTTCAATCGCGTGCGCTGCGAAAACTATTAATGATAGAACAAAATGATGTAGTACAATTTTTCAGGACACATCACTATCTATAAAAAATGTCGCGACAGCATGTCTCTATCTTTTATAGTTACGTCACAATAAGCGTACTTTTATTAATTTTTTTTATTAAAATACCACCGCTAGAAAAGGCTCTTTATTCGTACCTAGGTATTGATCCTTATCAAAATAATTACCAACGTTTCACATAAGCTACAATTTAATGGCATAACCACCCGGTTTTAACTTCATTTTACCAAATAATCGTTATTTTTATTCATAAATAAATCGTTATACAACGTTTTTACTTTACTGTTACGTTATTAAGACTAAATTGAGTTCAAAAACGTGATTAAATCTCCAAATATAAGCAATATTGTGCGTAAATAAAGCGGTGTAAAGTAAATATTAGCAGGAAGTCAGTAAAAAATCCATTATCCTCGATCACCCCGTACATAGTTCATTTTATCGAAAAGCTATTATTTTACGATTTATCTGACCACCAATTCATTCTTGAGCGAAATCAATTCCATTTGAGCGACTTTTTCCATGTCAACGAATATACTGTAACATACCTTTCAATAATAATTTTTATTACCGTAAATAAATACCGTATAATAATAAATACCGTATAATATATATAATAATAAATACCGTATAATAATATATATAATAATAAATACCGTACATTTTAATCTACGTTATTAAAATACAGTTCGTGCATTTTGTGACATAAATAATGAAGTTATAGTGTTTGTAACGACATTTTAAAATTTAATATGTACGACAACAACTTTTATGAAGTATTTCAATATTTACTAAATAAAATAACCAATATTGTGAGGAGGGTGTTTAGCAGTTAAATATAATACTATCATATATTTATGTTTATATCATAATATGTTTTTGATAATATATTTCGTCTTGGGACTTTTCTACGAAGAACAGCACAGACAATAGACTGTAATGCAGTCCACATTCACAGTAAAAAAAACGGAAGTAATTTTTTTAAATTACAGTTACAAATTCAAACAAACAATTATATATTCAAATGCCATACAAACTTGTTTGACTAGATGAAAATAAACACACTCAACTCCAACACTCACAATTATTAAGCCAACCGTGAAATAGTTGGAAAATTTAACAAAATTTTATTTACACTAATAAATCACACTCGGGAGGTCACATAAGTCCACTGTTGCAACTCTTACTGAATTGTCAAACAGTATTGGCACCTGGCTCCATCCCGTTATAGTAAGAGAGATGAAATAATTTTTTGGTACTACGTTTCAGGGGAAAAAACGCGTCATTGACAAAAACTAAATGGGTGTTATCATAATGTAATGATAGTTAGTTCCTTTTATTCAAATTTGAGGTTTGTATACACATTATTTTAATTATTTTTTTACTACGATTGTTTTACTGACGCACGAAGGATAGGAAAATTTCACCATTTTTAGAAGAAAAAAAAATTGTGACGACCTAGACCTAGAATGTTGAAGCTTCTAGATCTGGGCGTCTGTATATATTATATATAGTATCTGTTTCGAGACCATTTGTTTTTTATAGGCAAATAGGCGATCGGTCTTTTTTAGAACTAACATCATTTTTGATACAACTTATTCATCAAAGTTTTTATAGTGACTTAATTATTCAAAAGGCCCTCAGCTCTTTGACTATGCGTCCTGTGACGTGAAGATCAGACCGATTTAGACCGTCTCGTATCATTTATATAGGGCAGTGTGTCCAAGTTCATATTATTAAAAATGACTTAACCAAGACACAATTATAAATAAATAAATTTATTCCGAGATAAAAACCCAGAACTAGAACGCAAAGCCACATGTATTAGTAGAATTCTTCTAAACATTGATATATTATTTGTCAAATATATTAACAATAAATTTTAATTATTTAATTGATATCATATCTGGTACGGTTTATTTTCTTTACAAATGCGATGCCTACTGGCGTAAATAAATATGAAATATTTTTAAGACTCAAAATAGTTTCCCTCTTTAAATCCTATAGGTGCTGATTATAAAAAAGGAGACCTCATCTATATATATTTATGTTTGTAACCAAACTTCTCCGGTACGGCTTGATCAATTTTTTTTCTTGTTACATCTGATTATAGGTTGTAAATTATTTATTATACCCCTAAGTGATAAGGGACCTACCGTGATTTTTTTATATAAATTATTTAGGCATTTTAAAAAAACGAGCCCTTGATCTTCACCTTTCTACCACCAACCCCCATTTTTAATAGCAATATTAATATAAGGCAAAACAATATTTGCAGGGTCAGCTAGTGTTAAAGATATCTTTAAAAACAAAGTTAAAGAAATAGTACTGAATAGATCTTAATTAAACCAGTTATCACTTTGTAATCAGTGATTGGCAGTTAGAAGAACAGTAAAACGCGTTTACGAGCGATTCAAGTTTAAGATATTAAAATATTTTACTGCGCGTGAAATACTGTTGCAATCTGTTCAAAACGTCTTAATTTGTTTTCACTTGCCGTTAAAACTTAAATCGGTTGATCTAAATATAACAACAATGTATAATATATAATTGTATTGTTCTGCTTTGAATTCTGCCACTAACATCGCTCCTTTTTCGCACTTCTCCACTGCTTCATTTAAAAATAATTTAAAACAACTATTAATCTCCTAATCCTTGTATCTTACTTCTTTATTTTAGCTACCAGTATGTTTGTCGTTCTCCGGATTTATAAATTTTGTGCTGTCATGTTTTGTTTTGCTTTGCTCTGTATCATATTTGCTATTAGTGAAACTTGTTGTGGATACATCCAATGTGTTTATTTTATGTTTTATTTTTAACTTTTTTATTGTATCTGTTTTGTTTCCCAAATAAATAAATCTAAAAAAAATATATAATATTCTTAAGTCGATTCAGCTGTGTCAGAGTCGAGGAGGAGATGCTGCACCTGAAAGCCAGCATATGGCGGAGGACAAAGGAGCTGGAAGTTTCTCGTTTCAAGGCACTTTTTGGATCGCAGAGTCAGCGGAGTGAGTGTAATATTGAAGTAACATTAGTAGTTAATATTGACGGAGAGTTTTTTGCCAGTTCTTCTTGTCTACGCACTAGTTTTGAGAATTTAAAAACTTTGGAGGTTTTTTAAATCTTTTTTACTGACGTTCATATATTGTGTTATCTAATGCTTAAATGATATTTGATTTCTGATCATAAAGGCTAGGAAATTTGTGAATTCTAAAAAGCTGTCTAGCCCAATGGCTACGAGCGTTTCGAATTTTTGTTTGTCCTCTCATTAAAAAAGTGTCGACCCTAAATCCCGGTGTGCGCTTATTTCCATGTATACTTGTTAATATGGTAAAGGAAAGCATGACCGTCCAAGAACCAATTGACAAGTTAACAGGCGGAAGGCTGATCACCGACTCAGCTAAGGAATTTAAGTAAGCAGTCAAACTAAATATTGTGCGGTCTCATATTTCTTTCAATAAATTTAAAAATAATGTAATGAGGCAATAAATAGGACCAATAGAACATTCAACAAAGCCTGTGACGCATTTTGTTCTATTTCCACGAAGTAACTGGAATTTATTGTTCGATCCGCTTAAGGAGGGCTTCGCAACATTTTTGTAAACCCTTTCGGTATTAGAAGTAGAATACGTACTGGAACCACGTATTAAAAATCAAATCAGAGTTTTATTTTAATCGTGTAATTATGTACACTTATAAATGTCTATATTAAAAAACAGTAAAGAAGGATTAGTAGCAATGTTGGTGACAACACCAATAGTTTGCCATATATATGGTAAATTTTTATTTACGAATACTATTCAAAAGCTTGAATTCTTGAGTTCCATTTTTAAAATTGTAATACGCTTTCGCTGTTATAATTTTCCTTACAAAAATAATAATTAGTATAGGTAAACAATTTAACTATACAAATATTTAGTGAAAAATTTATGCTGCTATTCAATTTATTCGTAAATTAAATAAATTACTAAAAATTGGAATCTATTCAATAAATGTCAGTCATTTTATTGTAAATATCATAACAAGAAAAGTAACGAAACAGTAAGCCATTTATTAAGTAAACTAAATAGCACCAATACCAGGTTACATATTTCTTTATATATAAAATATAAGACGCAAAAATTGTATGTAATGTTGAGAAACCCTGACAAGCTTCACTTCGCCGGCGTAAATTGGACTTTTCAAATACTTATATTTCTGGCTTACGTACTAACAGTATGTTATTTCTTATATTTGACAATCATTTCTTATAAAGTATTTATTGTCCGATTAGAGAAACAACAATAATTCTGAATATAATTTCGTGAACAACATTATATATAGAAACTATTTCTATAAAAAAAAGGTTTATCAAAATGTATAATTTGTCAATTTTAAAAGGTTATTTAGAGATAATAGAAAAATCTTTGGATTATTTCAAGAGATTTATTGTAAGTCTCCCATTATCTATTCTAGACGTCTCACCTACACTTGAATAAATGAGTCAACAACTTTCATGATTCGGTAATGACTTCTTAAATTTGATAACAAAATTGCTTCCGTTTCCACTAAAAAAATTCTTACACCTCCAGAACACGTACAAAGTTCTATTTTTAAAATGATTCTAATACTTATTTGGCAAATATAAGTCAAACCATTTTCCGTTTATGACAGTTATCCTTATGTTACATGTAATATTCCTGAATTTATTTTAGTCTTTTTGTAAGGAGTATTAAATCTTATATTATAATTGCTGCTACTTTTGGTGAAAGCATAAATTAAATACTTCAAATAATGCGTTAACTATCAAAGGACATGTTTCCACACCACTATTAATTGCTTGTCTTTATTTAAACAAGTAGACGTATTCTAAGACTCCGCTTTTTATTTATACTTTGTTATAAACTTCTTATACACTATATGACTTTTTAACCTAATTTTTCCTAACGTTTCCACAAAAAATAGTTTGTAAGAACTGTTAGTCTTCAATTGTACATCTACATTATTAATAAACTGCCGTGTGTTTTCCTAAAATAAAAATAATACTCAAAATATTCGCGGAAAGAGCAACTTTTAATTTTACATAAAATTTCGACACTGCTGATTTTAATTGACGTGAGATGTCATTATCAGAATATCAAATGCCTACAATTCTTGGACGTATTTTAGTTCACGCAGTTATTGTTTATCAGAATGCCAAATTGTAAAATGACTCATTTACGAGTGATTTGAAAGCGGAATCCTCAGTTTGAAAAGTGAGTTACAGAATCGCTGTATGTTAACAACGGATTGCATTTTGATAGGATTACGTGCTAAGTTCTCTGTATGAAAAAAACCTACATAAATTTAGTTGAAATTCTACGTTTTCAATATTATAGATTGACTACAATTGAACTCTAGGTATTAAGAGCACGGGATGACCGAATGCCCCCAACCTACTTGGCGAGTGGCGAGTGTGAATATTCGGCGCGAACTATGCGATGTCATTGTTGTGGTACTGTGGTGTGCTCATCTATGTAATTGTGATAATCGTTATACGATTTATTACCGCACATTGTCCTCATATTTAGGCGATTACATAATTTAAAATAAAATTTCAATTCTTCAGTGCCAACCGCCGGTATTGCGAATGTCGTAAACGTTCGTTCAATTTAGAAAAATAAAATATTCAATTTTATTCACTTTATTCATTTCCTCTTTCCTTCAATTAAATGTTTATCTCAAATGCTAAAGCTTTTTAATCTAATGGACGGCACCGCCTGAAGCAGCGATTAAACACTTTATCGTACGTGAAACTGACTTGTATGTACTGAATTTATATATTTCAATTGTAAATGGCTGTATAATACAGGTATGAATATGTAAAAACCAAGTTATTTAAAATATCCCAACAGTTATTTGGTGCGGTTTAAAATTTGTACGATGAAGAAAAACATCGTTAGAAAGCTGCATATTAGGCCCTATAATCAGCTGCGTGTATCAAGAGCATAAGTATGATCTTGCTTCTTAAGGAAGAAAAATGATCAAGATCAACAGATACAGAATTCTGAGGTAAATTCTCAGAGGGTCTCAGAACTACTAGTTTAATTAATTACGGCACATTAAAAATCATATTCCTTAACGAAGGCGCGTAGAAACGATTGTGTTATGTGTATGGTAGACGAATAACATCTAAGCTATAACTAAAATTGCTATTCAATAGGAATATCTACTGTATTTTATATAATTTTTATACATACTGACATACATAAGCGGTTCCGATTCCTGCATTAATGTGAATTAGTATAACTAAGATGGCTTAACGTATTGCTTAGTAAAGATACTATGTTTTTCTTAGTTCAATTCTTTATTAAGACCTTAGAAGACAGCCTAAACTATATTTGTTTCCATACAGGCTAAGCCGCGGGCACCTATTTTTAATATTCTTTCGTGAAAGTGAAATGAGGTGAAGCCAGACTTCCAGGGAAAGCATATTGAAATCAATATTTTATAAAGCTCAAGCACCACAATATAAAGTTGCCTTGAGCTTCAACTATTCTTCGATATTTGAAGTATATAATCTGTATTATACTCAGAATACTTCATAAAGACTTAATGGTTACTTAAGCCATTCCGTAAATGAGTTCACTATAGGCTCCTAAGTCTCTTACTGCTTAATTTAATCAGTCGTTAACACATAATTTTGTATGGAGAGTACCGCTGTATGGCAAACCGAGTAACAATTTATGTAAACTGAACCGGAGCATTGTCAACCTTAAGGTCATGTTTTCGAACCTCGGCTGGCACATGGATTTAATTGTCCTACCATTGTTCGGTAGAAACCGACTTAGAAAATCACGTGGCTCATTAATAGAAAGCTGATCATCAAGAACATCGGAGACTCATGAAGTATAAAGCCGATATTTGATAAGTGTTACGGGTAATTGTCATAGTACTTACCATAAGCTCTCTTCTCAGTTTGTCCAGCTCATGAGCCGAGGGAGGTGCAGGTTGTACTCTTCCTCTTCTAAGTTCCTCCAGCTGCCGCGTCAGCTCCTCCACCTTGGCCACCGCCACAGACAACTCTTTTTCCTTTTCATTGAAGAGGGCTCGTATTGACTCTAAGTCGCTGGCTGTAAAAATATTTGAAGGAGTTAGGAGGGGAATAAAATGTGAAAAAAGCTAACGTGTTATAAGGAGAATACTTAAATTTAACAAAACAATATAATGAAAAACAAATCAATCAAGTACATCAGTTTTATATGCTGGCTCAGAATTATCTAGATTAGTCTAGAGAGTATTATCTATTATTTAAATACATTTTTATTTATATAATCTTCTTCATGATTTCAGTATGGGATGAAACAAACTATAGAAACTCTTGCTAACTTTTTTAAAGATGATAATAATAAAATAAGAAATGGTTATTAAAATCGCAAAACTTATTTCTATCTTCATTAATAGTTTTAAGATAGAACTCTATTTAGTTGCAGTATTAATTACAAGGTTTCAACTTTCAAGTTGCTCTCAATAACGAAGTGTCGAAGATAAACTTATTCTAGGGTTAAATAACCTCTTTGCTTATAATCTTATTTTATAAAATTACAAAGAATTTATTCCATTTTAATGTCGACATAATGAAAGAATTCTTCTGGATAGAAATTATAATAAAATATTTGTAAAGTAGTAGTCGTTTATGAATTAATGTCCGATTGTCGAATCAAAAACGCGTTGAAACGTATGTAGAGCGATGGACTTTACGGGTTTATGTTTTCCGTTGTAAGTTTTACAACATACAAATAATCAATTAGCAAGCAAACCAACAATAGCATTCAACTGTCTTTGAGAGGAATGTAGTTTATTCTGTTTTTAATTTAAAACTGTTACTTATTTATCATTGCAGCAATTGTTTTAAGCACATTTACCTAAATGCTGGAAAGAAAACACGAAACTTACACAGCAATGTATCCACCCCTTTACGATTATATACAATATAAAATTATATAGGAATAAAAAACGAAACATAAACTATAGAGTTCCTGTAAATTTACAACCAAAAGGCTTGTTCATATTGAAGCTAATTCAGTTCCCATACAAATATAGCCTATCTAGCTCGCTCGTTATTGAGAGCTCTATAGGGCTATTCATGGACAAACAGAGGAAGCCAATACAAAACAGGTTCGATTACGTCAAGTAAATGATAGTGAAGATGCCTGGTATGTCTTGATTAAGATGTTGTACAGTATTTAACAAACACAAATACTGGGAAAAGTATATAGTTTATCATAGGCTTAATTTAATTATAAATAAGGCAATTTTAATCTCTCGGTTTTAATGGAAATAATTAAATGGGTTTCGGGGTGCAAAGGTGTTCCATGTTTAAATTATTTATATATTGTGTTCCTGCTCAAAGTGGAAGCTGGGTTTCTACTACATATGACCAACACGTTTAAAAGAAGATTTGACTGACAGTTGTACAACTAAAAACCGCTATTGGACATGAGTAAAGTTAATAAAGCAGTAAAATGACTGCAACTGTCTTTGAACAAGCTTTATTTAATTAATCAATTAAATCCATTTTATACAGGTAATTTTGACGTGAAATTACCTGTATAAAATGGATTTTTAGTATAATTCAACAAGAAATAACTTCGTAACTGTTCGTTATGTTGTTTAACCTTATACGTAACTTGGTACTGGATTACTACATCTATATATATACGTAGTCGGTCCCAAAGTTCTGTCATAAATGGAAATAATGATAAAAACAAAAGTACTGATCAGTTTGTAATGAGTGATATATAAATTCTTAGTACATTAATTAAGGAATAAAAAAAGCATAAAAATATTCGAAATAACCTCCCTCATTTTTAATACATGCCCTTAAGCGTCGCGGCCAGTCGTCTATCGCAGCACGCACCATATTCGTGTCGATTTCAGTCACTGGTTTTTTTAAAGATGACTTCAGATTCTCCAAATTTTCATGAGGTTTATCACAGACCTTCCTCTCTAAGCCCTGTCATAATTTCTGGTCCAAAGGATTAAGGTCCGGACTGGAGGAAGGCCAATCCTCATGTCTAATTAAGACGATGTTTTGACGCTCAAACCAGGCTTTAGTGGTCTTGGCTTTGTATGCAGACGCAGAGTCCTGCTGGAACACGAAGTGATGTCCCGCAAATAGGGTGCTGGACAGGTCTTTGACAAGGCGATACAAAACCGTCTCTTGGTACACTGTAGCACTGGTTTTGACCCCCTTTTCGAAAAAATTAACCTCAGTTAGCCCGTAATAGGACACTCCCAACCAAACCATTACTGATGATGGATGATGTCCATGTTGCACCCTTGGAACTTTATTTTCAGCTTCTTCAGAACTCCTAGCGTACACTGTATCATTCTGTTTATTGTACTTCTCTTCAATATCGAAAAATTTTTCGTCCGTAAAGAGGATATCACGGTGTCGGTTTTTCGCGTACCGCTTAAACAACACCCGCGATCTCTTAAGCCTTATTGCTTTTAGACGAGCATTAAGTAAGTGCCCACTCTTTTTTGTATGCTCGTAGACCAAGATCTTCATTTAAAACCTTTTTTACTGTTTTCCTACTGACACCCATCTGCAAATCCATCAACTTCTGTTTTCGGACAGGATTTCTTACTATCCGCGCCTTGATAGCTTTGATTACTGCTGGTGTTCTTGCGGAGCGTGGCCAGCCAGTTATTTTCTTGTCCTCAACACTGGAGACTTCAAGGTACCTATCAATAGTACCGTACACAAACCTAAGCGTTATATTCAAATTTTTGAGCAACTTGAAAATGGTACTCGGCGAGTGTCCACAGCGGTGCAACGCCATAACAACTATTCGGTTTACTTTCAATGTCCACTCCATCGTGAAAAATTACGGAAAGTTATTGTTTTTTGTTTTAAAACAATAATCAAACATTCCAAAATAGAATGCAATAATTTTTTTATAAAATCCTGCTCGAAATGTAGAAATAATGTGCTAGTGACAGAACTTTGGGACCAACTACGTACAGATATAATATATTTATCAAATAAACAGATATAATAAATATATATATATATTATATCTGTTTATTTGATAACATTGTCAAGGCTTAGAAGGAAAGAGCAAGGATAGAAAACCTTCAGTGCTAGCAAGTACATTTGCCAGACTTGTTTTGATCACAGCAGACTAAAGCTAATAAAGTGTCCTAATAAAGTATAGGCTATATTGTAGATTTAAAAAATCAAATTTAAAATATTTCCTTTGCTTTTATTGCAATGGATGAACCAATATTAAAATCCATTGCGATAGCACTCAATCGCGTTATACTAAAATTGCTCTAGGCAGTCTGCAAATTGCGAAAGTAAGTAAAAAATTCATAACATTAAAAATTTAAAGACTACCTTCAACATGTACTGTATTTGCAATGCTTGAATACAAAATCAGTTAAAATGGCAATTCAGCACCAGATTACTCGCTAAATGCAATTGCTATTTTTAGTAATGAAAAACAATTTTATCTTTCCTCAAAACTAAGAAACTTATATAATATAAACATACATTATAATTATATTTGAATAAATCATTAATAGGCAATAAATTATGGAGTAAACGTCCGAAAACTGCAACAGAGACAGTTAATGTTTTTAAATATAGAATCACAAACAATATCAAACAATCGGAGCTCGTATTTTTTCTGGCAATAATTGTAAGTACTCTTCTTGGTTTTAAAAATGAAAATGATATATGAAGCGACTTTATTATATTAAGCACATACAAATGACTTTACAATATGCGCCTTTAAACTTTCAACTCAGACTTTGTTTCCGCAAAACTTCTATAGCAATTACGTATGCAATTAACAATTTGTTAGCAAATTAGAACTTTAGTAATTAGCTTAGAATTTGTGTAACTAAAAGCTTCAAAATAGTTGAAAGCATTTAAATAACTGTTTTTACCACAAATTATTTATTTATGTATCCGAATGAAAATATACAAGAAAATATGACATCACAAATTTAACACACAAAAGAAAAAAAGGAAAAAATCACAAAAGGAAAAAATTAAACAAACAACCACAAAATAAAAACTAAAAATTGAAAATAACTAAAACTAAAAAGATAAAATTCTTAAAGTATTCCTCATTTACAACAATTACTTTAAGGTTTTACTAAAGATAACGTTTAAATACACGGTAATAAATTTGTGAGATTGCTGAAGCCAGCTTTGATTCGGATAAGTCTTCCTTTAAGTATTTTTCAATTGGAACAATTACTTTCTGAGATTACCGAGTTCAACTAAGACTACATTTGATTCTGCTTTATAAAAAAACAGATACTGAAAACCTATAACATATAGATATATACATATAATGTCTATAGGCATATATTAATGAAATACGTTGACATGCGTGCATGGCGTCACCGAAGTCGTAAAGTAAAAGAAACACGAATTTAGACATTTTTTAATGATTAAGTTCCTATGTAGTTAGTCTGAAATAGATTTAACAGAAATATAGATGGTTTACAAAACTCATGGCATGCTTGAGACTGCAAAAACCCTGCAGACAATAATAAATGGTCTACGCGTAAACGATTAAAATGACTAATGACACGTCCGATAGGCATTTACGCATATTTTTTGCCTTTCAGGGGAAGTTGTTCAGCTTTGTTTACACTATAATGGTGCTTATGACCCGAAAATGCTTTCTTTGGAAAAGAGAATGTTTGGTAAGAATAAAATGGCCTTCAAATCGATTAATGGTCCTTCGATTACAGAATAAAAAACGACAAAAATTTTATGCCAGAAGAGAATATTTTATACTTAAACATTGAACTAACTTTATTTTGATCATGATTTTTGACGTTTCCATTGAAGGGTTTCCATAAAACTGCATTATTTATATGACTAATAAACCAAAAGAAAGAGAGGGTTACATATATTGTATTCCTGTATTTTCATTATAAATACAAAATTATTTCTTTTTCCGCAAAAACCACGTCTTATCGACTAAATAAGTTTCATAAAATTAGAACTACACGTTAAACATACGTAAGCTATAAAGTTGAAAAGAAAAATAAATATTCAGTTCCACAATGTGAATAACAAAATACTGGTCTAAGATCCCGATAT